TGGGCCCCCAGGGCGGGGGTGAGGCGGGGGGCAGGCTGGGGGCGTATGGCAGAGGGAGACGCCGCCGCAGCGTCTCTGAAAATCACCATTTCTGTTGCTCAGCAGAGTTAAAAGAGTGGGAAGCGGTCTGGTAGGGGTGTGTGCTGGAAGACGGAAGAGACCTCGCTGAGTAGAGGAAGCTGACAGAGGAACCAGGTGGAGTTCGATGTAGATGTCAGGCTGAAGCGTCCCCCTTCTGGAACAGTCCGTCTGTGAGAGTCAGGAGAGGGACCAGGGATTTCTGATCCTCGGTACCCTTTTCTCTGTATCTCAGAGAAACTTTCAGAGTGTCTTGTGCCACGTGGTGGCTGATCCTCAGGGAAGGTGCCCAGGTACTGCTGCAGCCAGATAATCAAGCCACGTATTTTGGTGACGGGATTCCTGCTCCTCTGATCATGTTGGTACTGACTCTTCATTTTGGAAGTCAGGGTTTGATTTTTGTTAAATTACAAAGCAACATGAAAAGGTCAAAATAATATTCAGATTGTACCTCAAGTGCTCAATTTAGAATTTAGAAATGCTGAGATTGTGATTGCTTGTGAAACTTTATTTAGGTCCCTTGTGTATGTGAGAGATGACTTTTGACTTGATTCCTGTGTCACTGAATGCACTGAATGGATAGCACACAAGAAATCTGTTAGTGCTTTATAATGAATAAAATTAGCTTTGTAGAGCACCTCTTTTTTATTCCTTTTTTATACAGTTGGAGAGTAGAGGGCATGCATCCTGATTCAAGCAAAAAATAGGTGATTGAATTGTCTCCTTCGAGAACTGAATGCTACTCTCTCCCCTTCCATAAAATTCTTATGTGATAGTGGACAAGTCACTTCGTAGTCATTGAGGTAGCTGTTTCATATTTAAGACCTGTAAACTGAGAAAAGCGTGGCAAAACTTTCACAAGTGCCGGGTATTCATCACTGTAGCTTAGATCAATAGAAGCAATGCATACATAGGTACTGTTGTGGAAAGAAAACCAAACCCCCGAAGTTTCAGACCTCTAAAATTTGGCAGCACATTGGACACTTGATTTTAAATCTGAGTTTGCCAAATATCAAAATGGAAAAATAGTTCTGCTGGGCCTCAAATGGGTCTTGTGTTACTGTTTATAAGGTATTCTGGTACCCTTAATGCTTACTGAAGTTTTTCCCATCTTCTGTTTCCTTAACATTGCAGCTATATTTTTGTATGCAAGCATGAAGAAGTAACCATCAACAACCTGTGTCATTAGTTTTTTATATAAGTGGCACTGTAAAATCTTTAAACATCTACTTGAATATAGAGAGTTAAATGGCTGTATTTATTGCTTGCATTTCTTGATTGACAATGAAGATTAGTTGCATTTTCTATTTTGTACCTGTTGCACCTTTATACCTTCACTATCGAGTTGTCAGCACTGCAGAGGTATTAATTTTAATTCTTGTAGCTGAAATGTAGAAAATAAAAAACCTGTGTTTGTTGTATAAAATGTAATCTAAAGTTTAGACCACGCTTAATCTATTGTCCCTAAATATTTTTTTTTATTTGATAGTCAAATTTATCTTATTTAAAAACTAGGAACACAGTTCATATGGATAAATAATTCTGGGTTTATTTACTCTGGTAAAGCTGAAATAAATACTATTTGGATTAATATTTTTAAAGTTAACAATTTAATTCTTATTAACTACTACTATATACTAACCATTACTTAACTAGTAACTAATAGCAGTTTTATGCCACAGGACTCTTAGCAGGCTCTTAACAGGCTGGAGAAGCCTTCAGCATACAGTGCCATAAATTTCAACACACAATACTGTAAACTAGCTACTAGTGAAGAAGTTGCATACTTACATGATGACCATTTGTTACTTTTGAGAATTAAGTATTTCTAGTTTTGGGGGTTTTTTTTGTCTTCTTATCTCTGGCATATAAAATAAGTGGAATCAAAATAACTGAGGCCTCAAACTTTTCATGTCTGTTTTCACTTTAAAATACATTGTTACTGAAGAAATTTAAGAAATTGAGAACATGTTTTTACCTTCATTTTAGTGATGTCTGTTAAGTTTGGATTTCGCTTATCCTCTCCCTCTATTATTTTTTTGTAATAAGCCTAAAATACTTTCTTCTGTTCCATCCTTCTTGTGATCTCATTATAGTAGCTAGATATCTCTTAATTTATTATGTTTTTTCTTATTTACAAGGGTTAATATTAGGTCTCACAGGTCTAGGGAGCAGTCTTTTTAACTGGCATATTTTTCAGTACCTCTGGGTTTCTTTGTTCTTTTAAAATGTGTTTGTTGAATATATCTGGTTCAGTTGCTCTGTATTGTAAACTATATTTAAGCTGTTTGTCTCTGGATTTTAGATGGATATCCACTTTTACACTTTCTCTTCTACAGTATATGTGACATCTTCTATAAAAATTGAGAAGTGATTTTCAGTGCCACACAAATGGTATTTCACTTAGAAAATTTATAATTACATTTTAAGGACTATCAAGAATGGCTGTACAGCTCCCATGTCCTCAGCTCTTTAAGAAGCCAAGATCAGAGAAATAAGTATTTCTTTTACTCTTTCACAGAAAGAGTTTACTTACAGTGTTTCAGGTGCCCATCTCTTTCAGACTTCTGTAACTGCTGCTTTCTTAATTTTATTTCCCAGAGAGACCAAAAAAAAAAGAGAAATTTTGTTTTCATTCCACTGTTCCAGCTTTCTACCTTATACTTTTTGTATCCTTTATGTTCTACACATAATTGTATTACCACCATGTCTTTTGCCTTGAAATTTCGCTTTTTACATTTTCCCCACAGATAGCTAATTTACTTCACATAGTATGTGCAGTTCTCTTTCTCCAGGCCTCATTGGTGTAGCCATGATCAACGTGACCACTGTCGAACCTTGTCCTTAAATCTCACAACCTTTTTCTGCAAGCCTTCACCATTTTATCCTCAACTTTGCAACTTAGGGCTTGGGGTTTTTCTTCATGTTTTTTGTCTCTCACTAGCCTTTGGACTTCCTGTGTTGAAAACTATATGTAATTTCTTGCAGTAATTGTGATACGATCCATCCATAAACATCTTTTCCATTGTGAAATATGATCTGACAGATTTTTTTAATCTAGTGGAAGATATTTTGCATTATGTGCTTAAAATATTTTCCATCATGCAAAGAAGTTTATCAGTTGACTGATAAACAACTTCAGAGTTTAAAAAATTATTTATTAGAGCTTTTTTCTAATGTTGCCTCAACATAACGTGTATACTTGTTTGAGCAGTATCATTTGACAAAACAAAAATCACAATGTCACAGGCAAATTTTGGTCAAACATTTGGTAATCACAGCTTTGTAAAAAAAAAAAGAAAAACCAGAAGCTACACTGAAAAGTTAGTCATAAAAGCTAAAACAGTATGAAGTGTCTCCACACTGCCTTCATGTGGAGAAAAAATCTAACTTTGTGCCCTGTTTTAAGTCCATTTTGTAAGACTGTCTTCAGTACGAAGCACTGACCCTGGCTTTGTCGAAACAGTGAAGGAATTTAGATTTTCTTCTATAGTGATAAGGGATTACAAGAATTGGAAATAATATAAACATAATATAAATCCACAGAAGCTAGAATAGCTTCTTAATAATAATTGTTCTTTTGTAAACATACCTGTAGTTTCTTTCATGAGCTGATGAATATAGGAATGGCAGAACAAGCATTGTGAAAATTGCTGCTTTTCTTCAAGCCTTACTGATTATGTAAACCCTTGGTTATCATAACTTTGTACTCATATTTAAAAACATCTTTATGGTCTTTTCAGGAAGTATCATTTGTGTTTCTCCGTGTAACCATTTTTCTTACATAGAGCATTCCTTTTGCTGGTCATTGTAAGCTCAGGCTATCTTCTTATCTCCTGGCATCCACCTGCCTTTCTGCAAACTCACATCCCATTAATGTATGTCAGTGAATCGGTGTTGAGGGACAAATGTAGAGAGCACAGAACAGTGTTCAGCAAATTGTTCAATAACTCTTCTGTAAATGATGCCAAGCTATATACTTTATGTGCATTAGTTCACTCATTAATGAATTAGTGAGCTGCACTTCATTAGTGCACTTTCAATCACTCGTGACTTGGAATAAGGTGTTGTTTGTTTGTTTTTTCTTTTAAAATACAGGTAGTGGAATGGTTTCATTCTGCATTTAATATTTACGTTTTCTACCATGTAAAGTTCAAGTTTCTTGCCTTTGCCTGACATGAGTTAGTCCCTGGCTGCTTGGACCTTCTTTCTTAATCATATTAGTGTTCTCCTGCCCTGACCTAAATCTGCTATACCTGCCTGGAATACTTAATAGACCCAATTCCCCGACTGACCTTCTAATATTTTCTCCTACATAGGAGATCCATTCTGATGTGATCAGCAAAGTTTCCTTCATCAAAGTCCTTTCACCTTTTTTTTGAGAATCCACATAAGCCCATTCAGATTGTGTTTGTTGATTTTTTTTTTTTTTAGTGTGTTTTAAAATGCATTTTCTTTGTCTTTTGTGTATTATTCTTCCCTAAGTAACTGCAGTCAGAATGGTGAATGTCTGTAATGGTAGCAGAAATTACAAATTTTTCTTAATAATTGTATGTTGTTAAATAGCAATGTATATACTCAGAATATTCCAGAATGGTTTCTTCTCTGCAATGACTCTCTCCCCCCAGTTTTATTTTTTACTAGGCAGCTGGCAACAGCATGAATGATGCCCCACAATGCAGATAAACATGAACCCTGGCTCACAGGCATTAGAAAATCAAGTCAGATGTGATGTAACCAGTGGGGTAACATGCTGCATGTACACTTTTTACCTTCTCTGCTGTTCACTGTACTTGAGGTCAGTACAGAGGGCAGGCAAAAGGTGTAGATGATTGTGGATGGAAGGAGAAAAGAAAAATACAAAAAAAGAACTTAGGAGAAAGTGTGGCATAAATTGTAATAGGAAAGATAATGAAGGTAAAACAAGAGCAAGCCAGTATCAAAATACCCTACCGTATTTTACAGTTCTATGTATTTTATGAATATGTAACTGGAAGATTATATACAATTGTGACATTCAAGTATCAGATATAGACTTGCTACTTAAGGTGAGGTTAACAGAGTACCATAGCGGTACCTTGTAGCTGTTCAGTTGTCCCTTAAGTTGAGGTGAAACCCCTGTTCTCAGCAGATCTTGCAGATAACTATTGTATTCTTACAACTTTGTCATCCATCCCTAAGAATTCCAGGTAGCCACTGAAGGCAACTTACCCTGGGATATCAGTGTCTCTTTAGTGTCTCATGAAGATTGTAGTAGAAGCATTCAGTACTAAAATAATGTGTTAATTGGTGTATTTTTTTTAGGCTCTGAGGTCTGTTTCAATGCAAAATAAGCTGAACATCCATAATTTTTATTTTTCTTACTGAGTCTTCTGATGAATTCATTTGGATGAACAAGAAATTTTGCTTAATGACTGATTGTTTCCCATCACACTTGTGGACTTGGGAGTTAAGAGAAGTGGAGTTTTGTGTACTCCACTTCATTGTTTTTGAAGATTACTGTGTGATTCTACTTGGCTTTGGCATACGCCAAAGTCTCCCTCTCTTATAAGACGTATAAGTCGTTCTCCCATCCAGAGATACCACTCTACGCTGTGAGGGAAATGTTCCCTCAAGGAAGGAGACAGCAATGTCCTTTTGTGATCGGTGGTCCCAGGAGCTTTATGAGACTCGGTGAGGTCCTCCGAATAGCTTCCTGAAAATAACGTAAGGATTGCAGAAAAAGTGGCCAGACCTTTTTCAGAAGGGGTGCTTCGGCAGTCCCTTATGCACAGAAGAATAAAAGATTTCCTTTGGAGCAATGACATAGATAAGGTCTCTCCCTCTTTTCTTCCACTTTCCCAATGAAGCGATGACATTTATTAGTGTGGAAGGTTTTTGCTGTCAGCGGTTTCTCCCATCTGGAGTGCGGGTATTGACAGAAGGACTGTGTGGTTAGCAACGTTATTGCTCGTAAAGATCATCAGTAAGGGCTGTCAGGAATGAAATCCCTGACTGGGAACAGAGCATCTTTTTGGGGAACGTTGGGGAGCACGAAAGCTTCCTTTGGGGAGGCGTTACGGGTTCTTCTATATAAGCGTAAACTTTCTAAGGATGCCAGCCCTGTTTCTTTCCTTTTCCTGCCTCCCCACTCCCAGCAGCATCCTCAAAGATTTATTGGGCGGACCAGAGTAGAGTTTAGGTACCCAAAGTCCTACTGCCCTGTTGTTTAGAGATAAACAGAAGCCCTCTTCACAGAATCTCAGAAATGACTTTACGAGAAGAGTTGCTAGTACCAGCAGTCAATAGGATCCGGCTCTTCTCGGTAATAAGAGCATTGTAAGTGCAATGATTTTGAATTCAGTTCACAGAGGGATTCTGGAGACAGGTGGCCTTTGAGATGTGCCTCCTTGAGTGGAGATAACCACTGTACTCTTGTCCATCTGCAGCTAACACGTTTTGGTGGTGGAAGGCTTAAACAAATATGACTGTTACACTCATGGGATTGTAAAGACAGTATGGCAGGAGAGGGAACAAAATGAAAAAAGAGCAAGATGAGGAATAATGGGGAGACTAATTAGGAGAATTGCATGTGTAGCATATTGGACATACATGATGTACATCTTCTGAGGTAATGGTAGATGCTGATTGAAATGTGGTAAATGAATCTGTCAGTTTTTTGTTTAAACGTTTAGAGTTGCTTGCAGAAACTGATTTGCTGCAATCCGTGGAGGCATAAAATAGGCCTTGGTGAATTCTGTTCGGAGGTGTTTCCATATTTAAGTTACTCATATGTCAATTTTTTTTAAGCAAAATGTTCACCTCTTAAATTTTCAGGATAAGTGTTATATTGGAATGAGCTTGTTGTCTCTGCAAGAGACAATATAGAATTAATCTGAGACACTACATCTACTTAAAAATGTGTATATGTACATGTCTCTGTATAGAAATATGTAGAATGGTATTATGTGCTATACATGGCTTTTCTTTAACAAGGCAAAATTCTTTGCTAATCCAGCTAATTCATTACAAAATATTTGTACAGAGTATTGACATATTGAAGTATCATTATGCATTCTATGCAAAAATTTCTGTATTTTTTTTTAATGGATAGATTTAGGTCACTTTATAAGGAATTGAAAGGCAAATTATGTTACAGAAAGAATCCTTGATTAAGAATCTTCAATATTTTTTTTCCAGTTTCCCTGTATACAGTGTAGTTTAGAATTTTGCTGAATATGTTATTAGTGGAATTTAACCATAACTTGTGTTATATTTAGTCCTCAAAAGCATTCTTCTTCACTTTATTTTTTAATCAATTCAGTGAAGCTCCTGTGCTGTGATTTGGGTTTTAAAGACCACAGTGATAGAAGGACTTCATTCTTTCTGGGCTGAGGAGAAGAATTTCCATGTTCTCCCAGGCAACGATATTCTAAGATGGAGTTTGAATAGTTTTTGACTAGTTATATGTGTTTTGTCTGTTGGAAGGCTGCTCAAGGAATTCACCATTCTGATGGGCCGTGCTTCAAATACCAGCTCAATTTTATTTATGAACCCTTCTATAGCCTTTAGTTCCTATACCAATATTGGTCTTTACCTGAAAGTCTGAGTAATATAGTTAGCGATTCTTCCTTTTACAACTAAATATGTCAGCTAGCTGTCAGCTTTGTGATGTGCCTGATCTTCTTCTCTCTTGCAGAATTCAATTCAATATCAAATCCAAGTCATCTGAATAGCAATGCAAAATGCTGCCAGAATGTGATTCTGTTGTACTTTGTAATTTCCTCTTCTCTTCATTTTTAAATTTTATGTTTGATAAAGCTGAAACTCTTATACATTGTTGCTTAATTTTATTTCTGATTAGTTAATATAGGTGAAATAATCAGTGTGAATGTTTCTGTTTACAATTTCAGTTTTGGCAAATACACTACTTATTTAACTTGTCCAAACATGTTGAAGGTATTGAATTTTAAGGCAAAAACATTCACAGTCTGAAAAGGGAACACTGACAAGTTCAGTCAAATGGGAAAAGAAGAATAATTTATAAAAGGAACTGTAGATAATGATGCCATCCAGTTGTTTTAAAGTGCATCTATCTCACCTTTAATGAATTAGATTTGTCAACAGCATATGTTTTATGCACTACTTCTAATGAAGTGGCATACCAGCACTACAGTGTACTTTGAGGTTTATTCCATCAAAGCTTTTTGCTGTCGTAAAGTAGACCTTTTTAAATAATAGATACTAAAAACTACATTTAAATAACATTAAGGTTGTGACACAAACACCAAATGACAAACTTCAGGCAATTCAAAGCTAGGGCTGACAGCTTGTCATTAACTTGCATTGTTGATTTTTAAAAAAGAAGCACAATTGCATGATTTAAGGATTAAATGTCAGACTAACTTTAAATTTCTTGGCTTTTGTGGGCTGGAGTTACAACCTTGCTATTATTTTTTATATAGTTTTTTGCATAGCCTCTGTTTTCAGAAAAGTAATAAAAGCAGTGGAAAAAGTACAGGCTTTGTTGACTTTGCTCTTCATTTAAAATACAGATGTGAAAGTATTGGTCAAAGATCAGGGGCTGTCCCGTTGTCAAACTTACATGCGGTTCTTCTGAGCTTCCTTTGCTCTTGTCTTTGCTGATTCTTCTACAGAACTTCTGAGTCACAGGAACTTTAGTCCTGGGGTACTTCAGCTAAAACCCTGGGAAGTGCTAAGAGTTCCCGAATCTCTTCCACATAAAGAACCACTTTCTTTTTAATAAACAGTACTGAATAAAACAAGAGTTTAATACATGCAGGAAGCCTTGTAAAAATATTTTTAATTGCTTAAAATATTGTGAAACAAAAGCAGGTGAACAGGATACTTCCTGTTATTTCTTACATATGCTTTCCCATTTTGTTGCTGTTAAACATAATGGAACTTTTGTTAGTATGCATGTGTAAACACGATCCTTTCAATTCCTCTGTAGAGATGATTTCTCAAAGTCTGTAAGTCTAATGCAGGCAATCTATCGTTTTCATCACAGTTTTGTCAATTTAATATAGCATAAACTGGCACTGCTGCCAAGTGGGCAGGCCTGCACCAGCCAGTCACTGCAGTCACCTACCCCGTGCCACCATCAGTGCTTTCACAGCTGCCTGTTAATTGGGGATAAACAGGCTTGCACAGGGTAAGTGGCTGGTACAGAAGGATGGTAGGATATTTTTGCCGAGCTAGTTTTTAGCTACCTGATTTGATTCATTTGATTCATATCCACAACCACTACTGGATGCAGCAGTCAATCTTTAGTTCTTTTAATACAATCATGGAATTATAGAGTCACAGAATGGTTTGGGTGGGAAGGGACCTTCAAACACCGTATAGTCCAACCTCCCTGCTGTGGGCAGGGACATCTTTCATTAGATCAGGTTGCTCAAAGCCCCGTCCAACCTGACCTTGAACACTTCCAGGGACAGGGCATCCACAACTTCTCTGGGAAACCTCTTCCTCACCACCCTCATATTAAAGAATTTCTTCCTTATGTCCAATCTAAACCTACCCTCTTTCAGTTTAGAACTATTGCCCCTTGTCCTGTCATAAGGCCTTGATAAAAAGTCTCTCTCCATCTTTCTTATAAGCCCGCTTTATATATTGAATGTTCATCTCAAACTTCCACCTCTTAGTTCTAAGTTGTTTGTCCTACAAGTGGGTGACCACAAGGTAGATTATTCTCACTGAAACTACTGAGCCATGTGGACCTTGTCTAAGCATTTCTTAATAGCTGCCATATGCTATTTTGGGAGCTTCTGTGGCCTTCTAATTTTCCATCCTGTACGTATCTTCTCTCCATTGCTTTTATACCTTTGGAACAATGAAATAAAGTGTTACGTAGCACCATGGTTTGCAATGTAAGTATCAACAGAAATGGAGGCTTTTAAAGTTAAAACTTTTTTTTAACATTTTGAACTTGGACTATTATTTACCAGTTGGAATGAAGAAGCGTACTGTCTTATTGTATGAGCAATTTTATATAGCACTTAAGCAGTTAGGATTTTTGTCTGTGAAAGTGTTAGTTCCTCAAATACTAGCTATTACTAATTTTACTACCTTCTTTTTACGTAGGATCACTGATGAACTATTAAATGAATGTTATGCATATTCCCTTAAAACGGAAAACAAGAAGATTTCAGTTACAGAGAGAGCATATTGACTGACGGTATGTATTTATGGAAATTGTACATTGATATGTTCTGAAATTGACTTGCTATAAACTATAAATGCTTTAAAAATTTATAATTAGTTAGTTAGATGGGACCTGTGATGTTTATAGGAAGGTGCTTATTGGTACTAATCAAGAATATGTATGAATTTTTATTGATTGAAGAAAATGTAGGAGATGCTACATTTAAATTTAAGAGTTTTTAAGAAGTTCTAAGCAAGCTTTGTTCAGGTTAACCATTTTATAAATTCTTACCTCTATACAACAGCTATAAAAATGACTAGTTGTTTTAACTATTAAGAAATGGATAGTTATTAACTTTGTATTAGTGTAATTTTGTAAGAAGTCTGAATAAGGTATCTCTTTGTAGTAAGGACTTACATGGTTATTGTAGAAGTTAATTTAGAGCGCTGTTTTGAAATGCATATTGTAATTTGCAGCATTTGCTTAGCTGCAACAGTCCCTAGTATTTATTACATTTGGAGCAGAATACAGCCTGTTCTGTAATATACAGAAAACTCTAATAACCTCTCTTGACCCTGTGAAGAAAGGGTCAGAAAATGTGGCCTGTCTCTCAAGTTGTTCGAATGTCTTTTTTCAGTGTAATCAATCTATTTCTCTCCACTCTTTTTATTGCGTTACCATTAGTGCATAATTGTACAAAAATCTAACTTGAATAAAAACTTGTAATCGTTCCAAGCAGAAGTGGTTTAGGGAGCTATATCATCCAGTAGTCCAGATAAAGAAGTGGATTATTTGAAACATGAATAGTAGGCTCTACAATGTTTTTAATTCTTACCATGCCATTTGACTGGAAGCATGTGAGTTATGTCAGGTAATGCAGATATAGGGGGTGGTGAGGAATACAGCTCACTTGGTTCTTTTCCTCTAATAAACTTATCCCTAGTGCATACTGTGATAGAAGAAAAAAATGGAAAAATCATTCCAGTCTGCCTTGATATTAAAAATCAAATTATTTGTTCAATGCTGTTCCATGATACACACTTCCAAGCAATAAATTTTTGATTCTCTTATTTGGAACAAATTTGAAGTTTCTGAATAATGTCCAGCTCCAAAGATTAGCATGAGGCAGGATATTGTAATGTCACTTACTACCAGCTTATCTAGGAAAAATATGTCATTTCAGTAAGTGCTCCCTCCCTTTTCTATCCCTGAACTCTGTCTTCATTAGTCAGAATACATACCATTAACTACTTTTCTCATTGGATGTTTTGTTTGTGCTTGTAACATCCTCCACACTGTTTCCTGGTGGCGTACTAGTGAAGGGAATCTTGTGTTGGGACCACCTGCTGTTGGCTGGGCCACAACAAGCATAATTTCTCTTACAGATTAATAGAATAGAGTTGAAACTCCAAGGTTCACTGTAGCACTCATATAAAAATAGATTTGGTCACAACTCATGCTTCTGAAGGATATTCTGATAGAGTTGTTACTATACTCAGTTTTAGGCAGTTAAATCAAAAAATATATAGATTGAACCTTAAAAATTTGATTGTATTATAAGTTTCCAGCTTGAATCTTATATGGCTTATTAATTTTTAACTTTAAAAAAGTTGTAAAGTGCTATAAAATTAATACAAGGAAAAAGAAATTTGCTAAAAAGTTAATGTGACCCTAGAAAAAAGTTTTTACTCCTTTTTTTTTTAGTATGTGATATCCCCCTCTCTTTCTCTCTAGAAACTTGAAATGTAGTCTTCCTTAAAAAAAAAAGAATTAGATCTTTAGTGCTTTTTTCAGTCCAGTTTTGTTCTGAAGCAAAAGATTTATTTCATGTGATAGGCAAGTAGTGCACATTGTTTACAGTGCAGTTCTACTTCTTGGCTGGTTGCACAATTCATTTGAGTCTTGTAATTATGTAAGAAATAACACAGTGCATAGTGTTCACTTGTAAGATATTTATGAACACTTGCCCTCTTAATCATGAAACCAAAGGCTAAGTGCTTTCTGCACTAGAGAATGTAATATAATATCTTTACGGTAGTTGTTTAAGATGATAGGGAGGAGGAACCCTTTTCTGCATCACAAATCGGCTGATTGTCTTTCCTTTTTACACAGTAATTTATGGCCTGGTCTGGTTCCAAAGAAAGATTTATTTTCCTCTGTGTGAATGCATTTTGTTATGATTCCCTCTCCCACCTTTTAACACCATTGCCTCTATCATATTTTGAAATAGTATTCTTGACACAGCATCTTCCCAGAAGAGATGGTAGAATGTACTAGAGTTCTCCATGAGTATTCTTGAATCATACCCACGTGGTATTTCAATGGTGTATACAGACTAACAGTATACAGGTAAACGAACTTCACCGTGACATATGAGATGTTTCTTTCATGAGTTGCAGGACTCTTAGTTCCCCTACGTTAAGGACCTTCAGGCTGAAGTGTAAGAGTATCATTTAAGAGATCCTTGAGAAGAAGGAAGATCCTTTCACTATAACTATTCCTTTATTTTCCTTTCTTTCTTCTTCAGCAGCAATGGAAATGTATTGTGGATAAATATTATTTAAAAATGCCACTTGGTTATGCATTTTTTTTGCTTTTGTAGCATCATAGTTGTGACTTACACTTCCTGGCAAGAAATTAAGTTGTAACATCTGATAATGTAATTTATGAAGTGAGACAAAACGAGATTGAAATATAGAGAGGATGCTCTGGGAAGGTAAAGGCTACCTCTGAGCAACTAGTTAAAAAAATCATTTATATATGGCTTATGAATTAGTAAGAAGCTCTTGTCTTAAAAAAAAAAAAAAATTAAAAAATCTAGCTTCCCTGATAGTTACAGAACTGCAAACCAGTTAGACACAAGGTTTAGTTTTGTACAATTATTTTTATTACCATTAAGTAGATGTGGTATAGACATACTTTCATAGCAGTCACTATGTTTGTACTTTAATGTACTGTTCTATGGATGTCTTTCCTATCTCCTATCTCCATCGTGTTTGGTAGTGCTTAACCCTAATGATAATAATCTGTGCTTTTTTAATGCATAACGCTAGCTGATAACAGTTATGAGTTCTGCTCTGGATTCAAACTGATAGTTAAGTAGGAGTCAAGTCATAGTCAAGACTAAGCACTTCACTTAAAGAGGCTTAAATCAATGTCCTTTTAATTAAAACTGAGAATACCACTGGTCTCCGTGTAACTCATTGTCGTGGTTTAACCTCAGTCAGCAACTGAGCACCATGGGGGGGGGCCCCCCCCCCCCCCCCCCCCCCCAGTGGGGTGGAGGAGAGAATTGGAAAAGCACAAGTGAGAAAAACTCGTGGGTTGAGATAAAAACAGTTTAATAGTTGAAATAAAATGATGATAATAATAATAATAATAATACACAAAGCAATTGCTCACCACCCGCCGACCGATGCCCAGCCAGTCCCCGAGCAGCGGCCCCCCCCCGGCCAGCTTCCCCCAGTTTATGCACTGAGCATGACGTCCCATGGTATGGAATGTCCCTTTGGCCAGTTTGGCTGTGCCCCCTCCCAGCTTCTTGTGCACCCCCAACCTTCTCAGTGGGTAGAGCATGGGGAGCTGAAAAGTCCTTGACTAGTGTAAGCACTGCTCGGCAACAACTAAAACATCGGTGTGTTATCAACATTCTTCTCACCCTAAATCCAAAGCACAGCACTGTACCAGCTACCAGGAAGGAAATTAACTCTATCCCTGCCGAAACCAGGACACTCATATAATTTTTTTTCTCCTTTAAGTGATCTTTTGATCAGATCCTTTTTTTAGAATAAAAAAAACATACAATCTGATGCAGACCTCATACGGTAGAATCAACATACTGCTGAGTATCAAAATTGTGCTTTGGCTAGCAGTGCTAAAAGAGAAGAATACAGTAAGCTGTTAAAACTCTTACTCTTCACTGGGAAGAAAAACAGAATAAAAAGGCAAGCAGGAGGATGTCTGGCCATGTAGATGAGTGATCATGGAGAGCCGGTTGCCAGCTCAAACTGTTAACACTAAAATGCTGCTGTATTAGTAGAAAGCATAATTCTCTTGCTGTGGAACTCTAAAGACCATCTAGGCATATGCCTCTGCATTTCATAGTGATTTTATGGATTCCTCAAAGATAGGCTTTTATTGTTTTGGTGTATGCTGACTAGTAACCAAAGAATCTTTTAGAACAGCTTTGATTAGTCTTAAATTAGGCCTGTGCATGGGATAGGCCATCTGAGGTATTTAAAACAAATACTTTACGTGAGGCTCCTGATAGGAAGCATCTTGGTTATTCTGTTTCCTTTTTTTATAGCTAGTTACTTCAAAACCTGATTGCAACTTTAAATAAGTCAAAATACTAAGAAGCAATAGACTTCCAGATGATTAGAGAGACTGGTGTGTCTATGTGAAGAAAATATTTTATATAAAAATGTATTATGCTTTGATTAATCTACATAAACTTCAAATAGAATGCTAATTATACAATACTGTGCCTCATCAGAGAAATCAATTACTTTTAAACTGATGTATCTGAAGCAGTGCGTTATGTTATCAAGCTTACTTTGAAGGCAAGCCAACAGAGAGGAAAATGATTACAGATCTCATCCTTTTGCAGAAGCTTATTTGCCTTGAACGTATTTCCTGTTGTCAAATGCTAGCCTTTCTTAGACTGTTGCTGATGTAGTTGAATATAAAGTTGTCCTCCTTGAAATTCTGATTTATATTACATGTTAGCAGCAACCATTTGGTCAACCTTAGAAATGTAAAATGATCTTAAAACAGATCCGATGAGATCTACAAAATTGAAATTATTTGTATAATCTTTTTCTTAATTTAGTTAGCTTATGACATGCAATTGTCACCTTTTGCAAGCAATTTTTTCTTTGACTTGAAAGTGCTGGCTTCTTTAAACACAATTACGGTTTTTGGTTGCTAATCCTGTGAGTCAATCTACACTAAACAAGAAGCTTATATCAAACCCTTGGCAGCTTCAGTGAAAATTAAAAAGCATGCTTTACTGTAGAGATTGTCAAGAGTGG